ATCTATCGCTGTCCATCTCATCTGGAGGTGAAGAAAACCGGAGTGGAGACTCCATTCTCCTATGCAGGGCAACAAAAGAAGACCCAGCCGATCAGCTGGGACTCAGGAGGCAGAGGATAGATGGGAGAAGGGCCAGTCAGAGGTGGGATTTGCCGGTTCTCCAAACTACACAAAATGGCCGCTACTGGTTCTCCAGAATCGGTCAGAACCCACTGAATACCACCTCTGCTCCACTGTGAGAATTTCATCAGAATTCTCTGTGCCGTTGAAAGTAATTTCTAAAACAAATCTTATCCAAGTAACTAAAGACTTTTTTTATTATTATTTTAAAAAAAGGGGGAGGGACTTTCCTACATGGCACCAAAAGGATTTGGAAGCGGGAGATAATTGCTGGGGCCAATGCCAGAAAGGCATCTGAAGGGGACGGAAGTCCAGCCTTTCCTAACAGCCCTGAGTAATGGTGTCTTAAGCAAAGCAGCACACGCTGTCCGCAGCCCAAAACCAGCATGCCTCCTTCGCAGTTTGGCTAATCCTCTAATCTGTTGGATAATCTGTCCAAAAAATATACCTAACCCCCCCCCCAACCCCTATAAAATTGGAGTGTGCCTCTGAATATAATACGGGAGGGGGAGAGTGGGGGGAGGGCTAATCAGGCATGGTAGTTGGAGAAAGATTTCTCCCCTCTCCCGTTCCATTAATCACCTACCGTTGCCATTTTATTAATTTTAAGAGGTGCTTGGTTTAATCTTGTAAAGTTAATGGGAAGGAGGAAGATTAGGGAACCCACGTGGGCTCCAGAGAAGCTTGGATCGGCCTCTGGGGCTTTTTCCCAATGAGTCAGACAATCCTAGCTTGGCAGAATCCAATGTTGGTAGAATTGCGATGAGAAAGATTTTCTACTTGATTTTCCTAACCGGATAGTGTGGTTGCTTAATAGGACCAATAACACTTGGAAGTTTCTAGTCCTCAAGGTTCTGCCTGAGCAGGGGGATGGACTAGGTGACCTCCAAGGTCCCTTCAAACTCTTCCCTTCCCTTCCCTTCCCTTCTCCTCTCCTCTCCTCCACCCTACTCTACTCTACTCTACTCTACTCTACTCTACTCTACTCTACTCTACTCTACCCTATTCTTACATTTTGAATACACACAGGGTGTCTCATTTCAAATATCCTGGTCTTCTTTTAAAGAGGGAACCATTCATCAATCTTCTTAATCTAATCTTCTTAATTTTAATCATTTTGTATCATCTTTTTTGATTTTTGTTTTCAACCGTTTTATCATTTTATAAGCTGCTCAGGGTCACTGCAATAGTGAGGTGGGCGGCATACTAATGTAATAAGTAAATAAAATATATGGTTTTTACTTTCTGGACGTAACACAGATATTTCTGTGCATGTCTGGCATCTAAGAATCCTCAGCTTTGTGGCAAGATACTAAGCAATTCAGATAGTTGCAAAATTGGTCAATAATACAAGCAGTGCTTGATTTACAACCACAATTGGAATCAGATTTTCCATTGCTAAGCAAGGCAGTGGTTAAACGAGTCACGCCTGAACTTGATACCCTTTTTTGCCATGGTTGTTAAGCGAATCAGTTCAGTTGTTAAGTGAATCATATGGTTGTTAAGTAAATCCAGCTTCTCACAATGACTTTGCTTGTCGGAAGCCAGCTGGGAAAGTTAGCAAATGGCAATCATATCACCCTGGGACAAATGTATGTATGTATGTATAAATACATGCTGGTTATCAAAGGGCCCAAATTCTGATTACTTGACTATGAGGATGCTGCAATGATTTTAAGTACAAGGACAAGTTTATAAGTGTTGTTTTTTTTACTTGGAGTAGCTGTAAATGAGTTATTTATAAAGTAATAAAGGCAGGATAAAAATCTAACACATAAATAAATAAATCGTGTCTAGTTTCTCATGCCTCTGCTGGGAAGAATGAATATTAGATGTTTAGGTTTGGGCATATAATTAGGAATTATTATTTTAGTTATTAGCTATAATAACTAAAATTATTATTTTAGTTCTGTTGTGACTCCCAGATGAACCTACCGAAGTCAAAATGGGCAGCTAAATAAATTATTAAATAAGTAGGTAAATCTGTTGCATTTAGTGGGAGCTTCTTCTCGTGTGTAAATAGCCCCCACCCCTGGAATTATTTTACAGGTAGTCCTCGACTTACGAACACAATTGAGCCCAACGTTCCTGTTGCTAAGGGAGTTTTAACTTTGTTAAGGGAGTTTTGTTCCATTTTACGACCTTTCTTGCCACAAGTGGATCACTTGCAGCTGTTAAGTTAGTAACCCGGTTGTTAAGTGAATCCAGCTTCCCCATTGACTTTACTTGTCAGAAGGTCGCAAAAGGTGGATCGCGTGGCCCCTGGACACTGATACGAGTTACTTGCCAAGCATCTGAATTTTGGTCATGTGACCATGGCGATGCTGCAACGGTCATAAAATGGCCATAAGTCGGGTTTTTTTCAGTGCATTGTAACTTCAGACGGTCACGAAACGAACTGCTGTAAATTGAGGCCTACCTGTATTTTGTAATGTCGCACACTTTGGTTGGACTCTGGTTTTCGAGACCCCCCTTTTCAATCGTTTCTTTTCCTCCTGGCTGTTCCTGTTGCAGATTCCACCAAGGGGATTACACCGTAGAGGTCAGCATCAACGATTACCTGGACATATACTGCCCGCATTATGAGATCCCGTTTCCCATGGACCAGATGGAGAGATACATTTTGTACATGGTCAACTACGAGGGACACAGTTCCTGCGACCATCGGCAGAACGGCTTCAAACGCTGGGAATGTAACCGGCCGGATTCCCCCAATGGGCCCCTCAAGTTCTCCGAGAAGTTCCAGCTTTTTACCCCTTTCTCCTTAGGATTCGAATTCAGACCAGGACACGAGTATTACTACATTTGTAAGTATCAGAAACTTGCCCTACACTTCCCGTAGGAACCCAACAGGCTGGAGTGGCCTGAGTTGAGATGAGGGTTGGAAGGGGGGGAAAAGGATTTTAGCCTAGGGGTCTACAACCGTAAACACTCAAAGAGCTATTTGGACCCGTTTCCCACAGAAAAGAAAACACCGGGAGCCACAAAACCTGGGTGGGCGTGGCGAACTCAACATCACTCCCACCTAGTCACATGACACCCCCCCCCAGCCATGCCTACCCAGGTTTCGTGGCTCCCGGTGTTTTCTGTGGGAAATGGGTCCCTCCCTCCCTCCCTCCCTCTCATTTCTATTTTTCTCTCTTTTTCTTCTCCCTCTCTTTTCTTTCTTTCTTTCTTTCTTTCTTTCTTTCTTTCTTTCTTTCTTTCTTTCTTTCTTTCTTTCTTT